TTTGCTTTAGGCTCCCTCAAACACAAACACACACGCAACATGAGCAGCATATGTTACGAAATTCCTTCTGTAGGGATCCAAGGATGGTCTGGATGGGGTATTCTATTAAGGGAGCCATGACTTGAACAAGTGGGAGTTCCTCAGAGCAAGACACCTCTTGTTGGATGGCTCCAAAGGGGAATAAGAAAGCCATCCACCTGGAAGACGAACAAATCGAAAAACACCCATATTCTTAGCTCTCGTATATCATAAACAAATCATCAGCGTCTTAGTATGGGGTTTGAGACAACGCTCGGTTTTGCAGGTTGACAGGTGGGCTCCGGTTGGTATTTGGTCGCTCAGCTGACAGGGGGGGGTTCGAACAACAAGTCGGGGGGGGAGGTCGGGAGGGGCGGAGCAGCAGGGACCAATCGATGTCCCCGCCAAAAAATCCCGAAGCCCGGCTCCAAGGGTCCTTTGAGCCAGTTTTCAAAGGCTGATTGGATTTCGGTCCATATATGAACCCATGGGAATGCATTTAGAAATAAAGAGGGCGGATGTCCACTAAGTCAGCCATTAACACGTTAATTAAGCAAGAGGTTTATACAAACGGTTCATATATGGACGTACACATCCAGCCTTTGAAGTTGGTGCCCTTGCGCAAAATATGTTCATGGTAGTGGGTTTGGGGCACTCGAACAAACCCTCGAATTTCTGTGTCACTGGAGGCCCGCTTGGAAGGTTCGCACGTCTGGGCTTCAAGCAGCCATGCAGTCATGTTCACTGCCTTTCGACTCAATCTCAAGCCTTTGGACGGGGTTTGGGGGGTTCCTGAATCCCGCGCACCGTCATGGGGATCGGTTTCGTCGTTGCAGTAAAATTAACGCATATAAGTCTCTCTCTTTCTCGCCAATCGAGGCGTGTCGCTTGCAGATGTTTGCTTTCAACCGAAGCAGCTGCAAAGCTCAATTTTGAGGCGGGGGCCCGTTGCAGGAAACAAACGCAATCATCTTAGATATTCGAGATATTCGCGAGCGACCCTTCCGTTGGAAAACCATCCCACAGGGTCGGTCCATTCGGATACGGACCAGCTGACTAAACAAGACAGAACCATATTTATTTCGCGAGTGAAATTCATGGAACCCCTACTAAGAAGAAGCCATAGTTCAGCTTCGATTGGAGCCGAATCGGTGAGCCAGGGATTCAATTCCAAATCCGAACCACCAATCCAGCGATTAGGAGTTGCCTGAACAGTTTCCTTTTGCTCTTTCCGAAGCCTTGGCCGCAGATTCGACGCCCTGTGGACGACCCGGCAGAGTTCGAAAAGTCTTTGCAGCTTTGCAGAGAGAGATGCGACCACTTCGTCATCTACCACCGCCAAAGTGAGGCGCGGGGCTTCACTTTGTGGTCCTTCTTCCTTTTTTGTTTCGTTTCCGGTGGCTGGCTAGTTGGTCGGTTGGTTAGTTTGGTGATGTAGCTTGGTTTGCCTTGTGTTTGTGTCGTTTTGTTGTTTTGGTTCGCGTTGCTTGTTGCTGTCTTGTGCAGCTTGCAACGGATGGCGCAGGAGATCTGTTTCTGGCGCGACGGAGATACTCCGATTCGACGTTTCCGAATCAGATCTTCCCAGGCGGGGAGTGATGAACATGTGACGGGGGTTTCATGTTTCCTTGATGGCTCCCGAAGGCCATCCGGTTCAACTTAGGTTTGTAGATCTGTTTAGTTGGTTTAGTAAAGATTTCTATTTAGCCCACTAAAAGCTGAACTAGCCATCCGGTTCCTTAGCTTTTTAGATCTGTTTAGTTGGTTTAGCGGTTGGGTTTCTGTATTTAACCCACAAATTAGTCACTCGTTTTTAGCAGGGGATCTGAGGAAAGCCCAGACATATACTTACCAGAAAGCAACAGGCTGTTGGTGGACGAAGTCCTCTTAGGCACCGTTCAGAAACCATTCACAGTGAATGATTTCCCTGCAAATGCCAAGAAACAAAGTTTCAACCATTGTCTTAAAAAGAGTCTTAAAGTGGTGCTGGATTTCGTCCATCCCCAGTATGAACACCTCACTTCTTGGGTTTACGGACTTCATCTTACTGTTTGGGAAAATATTTTGGTGTTAAACTCTTAAACACACAATTCAGACGCGTTGGGCCAGTCCACTCAGCAAGATAGAGACCCTCAAAAGAAGCAACACAGCAAGACACAAATAAACGCAACAAACCAACAAAAACACACAACAGCCAACAAAAGCAAACAACACACCAACAAAGGCCAAAGAGCAACAACACAAAAAAGCAAACAAACAACAATTCCCCGATGCTTCGAAATGATTGAGAGAGGAGCACCCTGGCCCGGCTGTTCTGCACGGCAGAGGAGCACATGCTCGCAAGAAAACGGGCACGTGGGAAACGACACATAGACGCGCGTTGTGTTTGTTCTTGTTCTTTGCTTGGTTTGTTTTTGGGTAGAGGTTTGGGTGCGTCAGTAAACAGTCAAGACACGAGCAAATTGGTTTAGAGGAGCTCGAGGCGCTGGGAAGCTACTCGGACCCTTTTCGGTCGCAAATAGTTTTGACACGCTTCCTTCAAAAAGACGTTTGTTTTCGACACACTTGTGGCGGCGGGATGTGCGTGTGTGTGTTGTATTTTTTGAGGAGGCAAGGCAAAACCGCCTAGGCTCCAAACCGATTCGGCTTCAAGCCAGAATATCGAAGTGCATGTCAGTCTCGCTCCTCGACCATAGTTCGGTCAAACAGTATACGTTGTCTGTATGGGTATGGGTCAAAATGACACTCAGGGGACCGTAGGTTTTAGTCCTTGAGTCCAGGCACCAATTTTTGACCCACAACCATATGGTCCATTCAGGGACGAGAAGGACGAACGAGGTCTGCATTTCCCACAACGCGGGGCATTTCTCGTCCAGGAGGGCAAGCAATTTCGCCTGCACACGCAGCAGCTCCCAAGGGATCCAACTCTCCATTTATATGATTGCATGTGCTCCGAATTCGTGGATGGGTTTGGCAAGTTGCCAGTCAAATGCAGTGTACATAACAGCTAGCGTTGTGTGTGTGTGTTGCATGAATGTTGTGAGCAAAAGCGTCAGATCCCGTGCTATCTGAATAGAACAACAGTTACTCCCTGCCTGAGTTCCTAGTCTTCTGTCACTTTGTAGGGTTGGACTATTTTAGTGTTAAACAACAATCTCCTGGACTTTAAACACTTTTTGGGTCTCGACCATTTTCATGGCAAACAAGTTCCTGGCCATTTTCAGACGCGTGAGGCTTCGGCTTCTGGCAGTGGAGGCCGGCAGACGGACCTCTTGAAAATATGCATTATTATTATTTTCTCTTAAAGGGGTGCCCTGAAGAAAAGACACACCATTCGAAAACTGTCAAAACCAGCTGCGGGGATCCTTTAAGTCGGCTGAAGGTGACTTGTGAATTAGCCCCAGGCCAGAAGCCAAAACATCAAGCAGTGAGCTGCCGCTCACTCCTCACGGGAATGAGGAGTTGGAAGGACGCTCCCATACCAGGAACTCCCCTTCCACGAGTCCTTTTCCGCCCTACCTCTCTCTTTGTTTGGATGGTCGACTTCTCTCCAGTAGTAATGATCTAAGGATAATGTGAGATGAGGTCTGAATGATCATGCAGATTTAATGGACATTCCAGGTAAGCCTTGCTCTTCCTTGACATGTGCATGGGAAACGCCAGGGAGACTTACAAATATGTTGCCAGTGCATAAAATTCGCGGATCACCGGGGAGAACAGTAGGGGACTCACAAGGATGACTCGAAAATACTGTTCCAGTCGATTCGACCGTGGCTTATGAAGGACCCCCCCCTTTCTCCACGGGTGGCCCCCCCGCTAGGTTTGAATCTTTTTGGAGAACTCCTTGATGGCTCCGTTTCGTTTGGGAGGCCCATACCACCCAAGAAAAAGGTTGAAAGAACCTTTGTACTGGAAGACGCTTTGGGAATAGTTCTGAGAGCTTTTCTGTGTGAGCGACAATGCTTGCCCCTGTTCATACAATAGTTGACACTGGTTCCAAAGGGTCAAGGTGTTTGCGCGCCCTCGCCTGCCAGGCAATTGTTGATATATTGAGAAACATGTATGCAGTTACGAAGACATGCTCGAGCTGTTTTACCAAGGTCAGGGTACAACACATACGTGTTTCTTGACCATGTCATTCATATGTGTTGTTGAACCAGGGATGCATAATGACCTGTTGTATACAGTTGTTTGTTTGGACATGTTTTGAATTCTATCCTGCAGGTGCTGCTTTGAAGAGGGCATTCGACTTCAGGACATGACATCTTGGCATCGGAATGAAGAATGACTTAGGAGAACAATCGTGCACATCAAATGCCGCGAGGACGTTGAAATCAGGTTTTAATTCACTCGTTCCCGTCCGGAGAGCCTTTGCTCAAGTTAGCCAGCCTGGTCACATGCCATGTTGGACAGCACAAGGTCCATACCATGTGGCACCGGGACCATTGACCTCGATGTTTTAGATTGAGTCTTGTACTGGGCTATTATGCATAAATGCCTTATGGGAGGGTTCCGTCTGCTCGTGAACGACCTGGCTTGATCAAATTATCAGGCAGAGTGGGCAGTGAGGAGAAGCCTGTTCACGTCAGGCTCTGCATTTTAATACGGACCCACCTCAAAAGTGATTGGTCATGAATCCCCACCGAATTCTGATGGCCCGAACAAAGAGTCGGACCCATGTCAGCCAATGCCAAGACATGCTCCAAGCGTCCCCGCGCCAAAAAAACGGTCTGCCTGAGCCAGTGGAGGTCTCAAGGCTGTCTTACCCTTTAAGCCTCAAGTTGTTTCTTTGCCTTTCAATCTGTTTCCTTTAGGAATCTGTGTCTGTCTCAACAGTTTTGGCAGGACCCTTCTGCGTGTTGGTTTTGACTTTCTGCTGTCTCAACTGGATCTCTTTTTGGATGGCCACAAAGGGAAGCCAAAGGCAACCAATAAGACATCAAGACACTCCCATTTCGTTTGTTGAGAGTCATGCAATCTGATACCCAGACGTTAGTCCCCCAAACACTGCTAGCTTCTGTCCGCGCCATGGAGCTTTTCCTGCAGGCCAGACGGCTTTGGGAAAGCCGGCGGAAGTGGCTTCCAAGTTTATGGCGAGCTCAACGCATCGAGGGTTTTTACTTGGGCATCCAATTCTTATTTCAGGAATATGGAGTTTGCAACTCGTATTCGCCGCACATGGTTTTGCCTTTTCCAGAATTCAAGCTTGTAGCTTTGTGTATTTCAAGTTCTCCAGCATGGAACCAAGTGCAACAAATGCTTCAGTCAGACAAAAATTTATGCTTCTTGGCTGTTTTGAAAAGACACTACCCGGTCAGCCGCGGATCGAATTAACAAGTGTGGTTTGTGTAGCAGGCGTGGGACGGTCAAGTATGAAACAGTTTTAAGCTTGTAACACTAAATTGCTTTCCGGGTCCAAAATTGACCACGCGCACCGGCGTAGGTCTCTTCCTAGAAAACTTCTAGGGGGAACAAGTATAGCTCTGACCTTCGAGAAGCGCAACTTTTGTTTGGCCAGTGCAGTGGCCCAGGCGAGTGGTCTGTGTTCTCTTGGAATGCCTCACGAGCGCCTGACACGAACGGTCAGCGAATTGTTTTCGGATTCGAATGGTAGGTGTTGGCTGTGTGGGCTACCACGAAGATATAGCCCGAGGGTGTGCGCATACTTCCCATTGTGATCAACATGTGAGCTTGTCCCTTGGAAGTAGTATGTGAACTTCGCCCCTGTTGCCACTGTTTATGTGAGCGTGTTTGCTTTCATCAAGTGGATTGGCGCCTTTGTATTGTGTGGTGCCCCTTTCTTTTGAATGGCCTGCCATGGTTCGGCTGCTCTGTCTGCAGGATTCCGACTTTCTTTTGCCAGTGCACACGCATATTCTGGCCACGCTTCGGTGAGATACATTCACAAAGATGACGTGGGGGCTTGACCAGGAGGCATGCAGATCGTCAAGGGGGGTTCAGGCATGGGTAACTAGACATTAATTAATCACTTTCCGGGAAAATCACTTTAGTGATAAATAAACATCTCAATGGATTGGCAGGGGCTCGCGAAGTCCCCAATCCAGAAAACAAAGGTGAGGTGCAGCAGGGAAACCCTTTTCCTGCTCAGCGTAGCCATTGGCGGTGCCGTCACACGGCAGATACCCACCCTGTGTGGGATGCAGAGGATTCGGGCCATTGTGGCCACACGCATATGGAGGTTGCAGGGGTTAGTTGACTCGTTCGGAAGTGAGACTGGGCCAGGCTTGTTCCAAGGCGAAAGGGGTCGCCATGGCTTCCCGCCGGAACTGTAAAAGGTTTGGTGCCCATATCTCCGGATTTTTCAAGAACTTATACATGGAGATTGGAATCCCAACACTCTTGAAGAGCCCGGTCCAGGAGGGAGGTCTCTTTAATGTCCCCGGATTAAGCAGAACCCCTGGTGGATTTTGATCGGGGGGTGTCCCCTTTGGGGATTCAGACCACTTTTGGAGGGAACACCCCCCTAATAGTGGGACGGGTTTATTAATCCTGGGTCAACATTAGTGGGGGCTGGAATTGGGTTGGCCAACCTGTTTGGATCAGCCCTGTTCGAGGCATTGCCGTGGTCTCATGCGCTTGCAGGTACCGGCGCGTACACATCCGGCACCGGGGTTTCGCTCCGCTGCGTGCAGGCGAGGTCGAGCGAGAGGTTGTTGGCCGCTTGGGCCCTCTACTTTTTCAGCAAGCCAAAAGGACACCTATGCGTATTCAGGCCCAGGAAGTATAAGCTAGGCTCCACCAAGCGCTGTGCTTTCAAGACCTGTGTCACATGATTTAGATGGGGTTTATTCCATTTACCAGGGCCATGTATTTTTCCAGAATGTTAATACGTTTTGGGAAAACCATGCTTGTGGTACTGCTGGTGTTACATACTCATGTCAGACTGATTTCGGCCACTCCTCTCAGGAAGTGAGCTAGCAATTCTTGCAAATAACGCAACCACGCGCCACACTACATGAATGGTGACTGCTGACGGTTTGAGGCCAGGTGTTTTTGTTAAATCAAATATGGTTTGCCAACATGTGACTCAAGTGGGGAATGCGGAAATGCCGTAGCTTACAGCAGTTTATGGCTATTCTATTAGTGCCTTAAAGGGCAAGGCATTAGATGTTTAGTTCTGCGGCTTAAGCCAACTTGAGCATCGAGTTCCCGTAGTTGGTGGCAACGAGTGTCCTAAAGGCAAGGCGAAACAGGTTTTACAGTTTCTTGCAAGCACCAAGCAGCTAGAAACGCCTGGGTAGGGCGTCCGGGCTCTTTCACAGGCGGGGGGAAGAAATCCATGATGTGTTTTCTCGGCTGCCACGTACCCGACAGAAATGGGTCTTCCAACAATAGGTCCAGATCCCAGCCCCAAATTCCGGTGCTGGCACACGCAACCAGGAGGAAGGCGTTATTTCACTGCCAGTGCAACAGTTTTGCTTTCGCTTGACGTGGTTGCCATCCCAATTGTAAGCATGATGGCACCGCTGCAAACCGAGAAGTACCTTCTTACCAACCACCACCCCGTTTCCCTCTTCACATGTGTTCAATCAAGTTCGCGCACGGTGCATTCAACTTGCTGGTGCTCAGTCGGGAATGTGAGAATGAACCGGAAGGGGATTCTAAATCGGGGTCATCCCAATTCTCATTCCCTACCTATCGCTGCAGCAAGAGCATGATTCTCCTGTTGGTTGCCTTTCAAAAACAACCCGGGAATTCCCTCGAAGGAATCCATAGAGAAAGGTTCGTAGGGGGTCACCCTTGGCACCTTCGCTCGGGGAGGCCGGCGCTTGGCTGCCGCATTTCTGGCGCGTTTCGGGGCCTTGCTGGCGGCGTGCTAGGCGCGGATGCGACTGGGTGATGTTGATTCGACTCGGATGTCTTGATTGCTGTTGGGTACTTGAAGGGGCGGGGTCCGGCAGGGTACTTAGTCAGTGGTTTGCAAGCCTTGGTTATTGCCCAGTTAGGAAACATAGTTAAGCATGGTAAGCTGGTTTTAACCATGGATATTATCCACTTACTAAGTACAATGCCCCTTTGGGTAACGCATGTTTAAACTTTGACTCGTTAGTCGGAATCTAGTTGGTTTTCCATTGGAGTTGAACACTTGTTTGCAGAGGGGTCAACCAACAGTCGAGATAGGTTTGAGAGTCCAGTAGTTTGTGCTCATGTGGAGGATGCGTTTCTGCCGAAACATCAGGAGGTTCCACTTGGCTTCAGACTGAAGCAACTGGTATCCAGCAAGGCAAGTAGCCAAGACAGACCTACACCTCCAAACATATGTTTGGGACCCCTCTGTATTGAAATTGATTGCATCTCCCCAGCCACAATTTGTTTGTGGCGCCTAACAGCTGGGGTTTGGGGTTTACGGTTTTGAAGTTCCATTTACCTAGTCCTCGCCTGTGAATACTAGGTAAAGGTAGGTCAAAGCCGGCTCATGCTTTGTACAATCCCAAAAGGGCGTCCCAAACTTCCATTTGCTGAAGAATCAACATTATGATGTTATTGTCCCTTGGTAAAGGGAATCGATTACTACTGGATTGTTGTTGTTCTTTTCCCTTGGCTTTTGAAGGAAATCTATTGCTATATGCTTTTTTTTGTTTTTTTTTCTCCAGGGGACAGCACTCGGCTCGCCCGGCCGCCAGGTGCCGCCGGCGCGGCCGCGGTGCGGACAGGCCGCGGGTTGCGGCAGCGCGGGTTTCAGCGGGCAGGCGGGGTGCCAGGCGCGCCTGTGGAAGACCCAAGCCAAGTTTAGCTTTGAATTTTGCCAAGGGATCTTAGGACTTCAGCTTTTTGCCCACTAAAAAGGGTTTTCCGACTTTTAACCACTAAAAGTTATGTTTGCTTTTAGCAGGGGAGCAGAAAGCAACCGAGTTGAAAGTTCAAATGGCCGTTGTCAAAACCGGTTTGCGATCCCATTTTGGTTGGTAGGTGAATTCACCACCCATTTTAGAACCTATTTTAGTGGGGATTGGAGCCACTCCTAGATCTGTTGGTGGGTGTGGTGTGTGTGTGTGTTTCGATTATAAGGGGCCCCTGCAAAATATGGTGGCTTCTCTCTTAGTTCCCTGAACAACACCCAAAAAGGGTTCCCTCAGAAAAAGGTATACACCCAAGTGGTGGCCAAGTTTAAATCCTTCTGCCAGCTGGTTGTGGGTGTGGCTCAAAAATAAAGACCTTGGGTTACGCTGGTTTTAGTTTGTTGTTTCCATTTGCCAAGGTGCCATCCATGTTTGTACATGTTTTTGAGCCACGGGGGCTCCTTCAAAATGGTGGTTTCTCTCTAAGTGGGTTCCCTCAAAAAAGACACACCCAAGTGGTGGCAGAAGGCTCTCGCAATCAAATTGCGGAGGGTTAGGATGCCCCGCATTAGGAACAACCCAGGTGGAAACGGAGAGGCTTGGTGGTGACAGTTTCTCCGAGCCTCTCGATGTAAGCTGCAAGGTAACCAATTGGTCTGATTTTCCTCGGCGCCAGGGCCTTAGGGATCACAACCCCGCAAAGCTGAGGAATCGTATTCCCTTTGGGGAACCAACTAAAACAGAAGAAGGAGAGGGATGCGTCTGAACTGATTGGCTGTTGATGCCGTGGCTGGAATAGGCAGGTCGGCAATAGACCATCCAAAATGTGACTTGCTGGTTTGCTCATTACGTCCGACTATAATGGCCTGACAAATATTCTTTTGTGGCAAGAACCCAGCATGGTCAAAAGACAGACCCTTCCTTGGCCTGTTCAAAGGTAATCCGCCAGATCCTTAATCTGGTCCCCTTTGGATCGAGGTTGTCCAATCGGGATTATGGATTGGGAATGGCCACTCCATTTTGAACATCCCAGTGTAGGCAGATGCAGCATTGGTTCGAACAATTGACACCTGCTCATAGGGTCAGGGCTTGAGGGCTCAATGCAAAATGTACTGTTCACCGGGGTCTTCCATTTGCTGAAATACATGTTTTGTATTGTGCCCTGTTGGTTTTGAAGGGAATCTAGTACTGGACATATATGTACTTCTTTCCGGGGGACTTCAGCAAATGGAGGCCTTGATTTGTAGCGGAATCTAGTTTGGGGGACCCCATCTTTCTTTGCAGCGGGGTGCGTGCGGGTAATATAAAAATACCAACGCCGACACAAGCTTGTGCATTGATTTCACAACCAAGCATTGAGTGGTGGAAGATATGTCAGGTCATTTTTCGCGAAATACGGCTTAAATGTTTCAAGTCCATCTCCTTTTAGGGGATGCATAACTAGGTGGTGAATCCAACGTCATTTGCCCCGTTGTGCTTTAGGGGCCTCTCCCATGAAATGACAAGACAAACCATTCACAGATGAAACCCAGGGCTATGACTAGTCTTGATCCCAGGTCCAGGGTCCTCGGGAGTGTTTTTCGGGAGGGTTTTTTTGGGGTTGCCCCTGCCATGAAAGAGGTACCCTCCAAACACAGACCCGTTGAGTGGTTGCCCAGTTGCCCAGTGTTTTTTTTTTTGTTTTTTTTTGGTTTTTTTTCGGAAGGGTTCCCTTTGAAACTCAACCAAATTCAACCAGTCCAATCAAACAAAAAAACTGCCGATTCTTTTTTTCCCATGTCCGCCGGGCGTCTGAGGAACCAGATTCGGGGAAAGCTCCAAGAGGGCGGTCATTGGACGGAATGCGAATTTGGGGCAGTTGAAGGCTTACTTCCGGCTGAGGTAGGATCCGATTCCTTGAGCAGTTGGTTGTTGGTTTCTATCGTGTAAGGAAACCTTTTGGAGGGTGCCAGTGAGTATGTGCAACCTTTGCTTTCCCTTTAGACCAACCTGTTTAGGGTACCAAGGCTGAAACAAATATACTCATTTGGTGGATGCCTTTCAGAGCAGATCTGCTTGAATTACCAAGTGTCAATCTATGTTTAGTGGGATTGAAATTGATTGAAAGCGTGATGCTGGTACCCTGCTGGACCCTGGGCACGTACCACCAGCGTAGGACCCTGGTGGTAACAGCTCTAAGCTGTTGGCCATGTCTGGGGCCATGTTCATGTTGGCCATGACCAGCACCAGAATCGTTTGGTGAACACATTGTTGGTGAAACCCTTATGTCTGGAGATGTGGCTTGAAGGGTCAGCGTAGTGCCGAACGTGACTTCTGACTTCTGCCTGGCCCCGTGAAAGCCATGCCAGTGCCGGCGTCCGATGAAGCTAAGGTGGTTGAGGTGCCAACCAAATCAGCTGAGGAGATATCAAAGAGCTCAGTCATGATCGGCCGTGTGGCAGATTACTTGCCCCAAAGGCGTGTGGGAATGACCGGAAATAAGAAGACTCCAGCTGGCTTTCTCAGTTCATGTGTTTCAGTGGTCACTGGCCGTTTCTTGGTACTCTCGGACAACATTGTCATGGAGGACAAAGGTGCGTCAAGTTCTGCACGGGCGAACTTGGTGAATGAATGCACCAACATGGGTCTAATCAGTGCGCTCATGCTCACCATCGTTGTGCCTATGGCCTTTGACCATGTCACGGACTGGCTGGAGGAGGACTACGTTGGAAGTGGTTTTGCTTATTTGGATGGCTGGATCGGACAGCAGCAAGGTGAAGACTCTGTGCAGAGCACGATGCCGGCCATACATGACCTGTCCCTCATATGCTATGTCCTTAGCAGCCTTGGTTACCTTTGCTCAACGATTGTCAGCGTCATTGGTCTGCTATGCGTGGGGGAGATTGAAACAGATGCCGGTGTTGAGGAGTTCTTACGAAATATTGGCAGTGGAACCCGCATACCATACCTCTTTTGGTGGAATGGTGCCTTCTTCGTGATCCCATGTGCTGTTCGCTTCACCCTTAGCTGTAAAACGCTTGGAGGCCTCATCGTCATGTGCCTGATTGAGCTTATCCTTTTGATTCTCGCCACCTTGTCCAGCGTTCATTGGGTTCGGAGTTGCATCTCCGGACACAACACTGTCCATGAGTTCGAGGAGTTGCAGCTCTCACTCAGTGAAGCCGAAGAGGATGTCAACGCATGGTTTGCACACAACCAGAATCCCGGTGCATTGCAGGACTGCCTTCTGGATTTGGCGGGGCTCAGCGAGGGCAAAGTGATGATCAGCATGGACACCGTGTCTCAACAGCGTGTGGCGATGTGTTTCCATAAGAAGCATGCTGAGATCATTGGTGTTCCACTATCGCCCCCTGACCTCTACCGCATGGCATACCATGTGAGCCCTCAGTAGACTCACTGCGGCTATCCCTGATCCGAGGCTCAAAGTCTGAAAGTGTGAAGCTGTGTGGCCGCCCGCCTCTTGTGGCTTCAGTCCGGAGGCGGTGGCGTAGCATGCTGGGACAACCTAAGCACCACGTAGCCCGAGCCGGACCATCAAAGTTGGGGTGGAACAAATTCCCCGGGGCCGCTCCTGAGCCGTCTCGTGGAATCCTCAAACTTCGGCTGGGATGTTCCCTCAAGAAAATGGGTATACGCTCACTTATCAAGGGGTCACCTTAGAAGCCAGCTTTAGGGAACATCGCGGCAGTGTAGCGTCCCTTAATTCAGCAGACCAAGCTTTTTCCTGTCACAGCCTCACATCGTTTCACCTACGGCCCAAAACGTGAACATTGGGTCGTGAACACTATGCCGCAGCACTTGGCAATCCAGAAACCGTGGCTTGAACAGCAAGCTGCATGCTGTAATTTGTCATGAAGCGATTGAGACAGACACAATGAACCTGCCCAGATGCTGCATCAGACATGTACATGAGCAGAAACCACATCCGGAAGCAAACCATTTGTCGGAGTTTCCTACTTTTGGACAACTGCGCATTGCTTTTTGGTACTTCAATTGATCTCACAGGTCTCCTTTAAGCCTTTGGATGATCCCTGGACTCTCCCACTCAAAGTTCCCAATGGTGCATGTCTCAAAACTGGGTCCCGAGCCCTCCAAACGGTTGACTTGCTTTCAAACCTGACCAAACATGCTGCCGGCAAAGGAAAGAACGGGGACACGCAATCCAAGTAATGCACTCCACACGCTTTTGTCTTTTTCAAGGTTCCATGTTGATTGTCAGTGTGGGGTCAGCGAGTGACAACCGCCCACCCACCCCAAGGAAAAAGGAGGTGTCACCACCCCCCAAACAAAAACACACAAGAAAGTGTGGCGAACTCCTCCCCCCTCGAGTCCCACTGCCGGGGGTATTTTATCCCAGAACGGAACGGATGCCTTTGTGGTAGTAGAGGATCGTATACGTGGTCCCTGGATCTATTCTGGGGGAAATCCAATATGCCAATATGGAGTGGAAGAGAATGGATCGTCCCTGGTGGCCTTGATTGCTGTGTTTCACTGTAAGCGGCCTGCAAAGAGTCCTTTTATGTCGCTATCGTATGAATATGCAATTTGTACAAGAAAAGGGCCTTGAGCCAAATGTTGCATGGAGACCAAGATATAATCAAACACACACGCACACACCCGCCCCCGAAGCAGACCTTCCGCTGGCCGCCGGTGCTCCCCCTGCCAGGCGCGGCCCTGGCTGACTTGCAACGAGCCTTCGGCAGCGTTTGAGGCGTGTGGCCGAAGAAGGCCAGCTTCATTGTTTTTGGGAAACATTTTGCAGTTTTGCTTGTTGTGGTTTAGCGGGAAATCCCAACTTAAACTGCTAAAACTTAATTTTATGCTCCCCTTCAAGCCAGATACGGCTATGAGTCTTAATGGTTGGAACTCCCTGAAAAGTGGTGGGTGGACGTAAATCCTCACCTAATTGATGTCCACCAAAGCGTCCCTGTTTAAAATTCATACCCATATGGTTGAAGCTCGGGTCAATGTTGGACAACTTCCATTTGCTGAAATGAATATTACTGTATTTCCCCTTGTTGGAGTTAAAGGGAATGTATCACTACTGGATTTACTTTTATGTTTTCCAGGGGTCTTAACCAACTGGAAGACAATATTTTTGCGCATAGTCTTTGATTGCATACATGATCTTCCATTTGCTTAGGAGTATGGTTTCCTCTAATTGGTTTCAAAGGGAATCTACTACTACAGGTAATATGTCGTTTTTGCCCCCCAGGGATTTGAGCAAATGGACATATTTTATTGCATACAGTATAGGTCGTGCACAGTCTGCACGCATAGTTGCATGTTGTATGTAAATTCAGAACCAGGTTTGTGCATTTAGTGCGCAATGCAAACATGTAGGCAATTGTATGCATGCATATGTGCATGCAACATGTACATGACATATGCGTACACACATATATATGTTGGTATATGTGGGTTTGGGCTCAATAACATAGTAGTTCCTGCAAAGAGAGCCGGCAAGGACACAACTCACATTCTACCGACCGTGCCGCCCAAGTCCTGTTGACATGTGGCGAGGGTGTGACTGGTCTTTGGCAAGCCCTGAGCGCCTTAGATCTTTCTAGGGGTTGACTCCTTATCCTATTCGTTGCAACCATCCGATCCTTCTTTTCCACAACCGATCGCTGTTTCCCCCTGGGTTTTTTGATGGTTTCCTGGAAACAAGGATCCCCGGAAAGAATGGGAAGCTTTCCCTACAATCTTTGGGCAACTACTTTTCTCCCACGGGTCCCGCGAAATGTTAATCTTGTTCGCCAAGGCACAAGCACCGGAGTTGGGATGGGCAAAGAAACAGAGTTGCCAGTGTCTGTCTAGGGGTACCTTCCCCGTTCTTTCCAGGGATCCTTCTTTTCAGGAAACCATCAAACACCAAAGGGAAACAGTCGGTTTTTGAAAAGAACGATGGTTGAAAAGAAGGGGAATCAACCCCTAGAGTCCGGTCTTGTTTCCCAGGCCTCCAGTGTTTTTGCTTCTTGTTCTGCAGGCTTCTCAAAAACTCGAGTGCCAATGCCCAGTCTGGTCTGGGAACGGACCTTGTCCAACCCAAGCCTCAAACAACTTATTTTGCTGTTGGGTTGGATCTTTAGACTTTCACTGTTTGGTTGAAATCATGTGGCATTAAACCCACACAAAGTTATACTTTTGCAGAGGGGTCAACAGCAACGAAGAAAAGAGGTGCCTCTTGTTCCAAAAAAAGAGCGCCAAGCCTGTGAGGCTCTCCGGCTTTCTTTGTGTTTTTTTCGAGGGTACTGCGATTTGGTGGGGGGGGTTCAAAGGGAAACAACAAGGAAACCACCCATTGTCCTCACTCCCTGAGTTCCTGGACTGTAGACTTTTTGGGAAGACCAGTTTAGTGGCAATACGAAGTTCAGACTTTTATTGGCCAGTCCACTCGGGCAGTGAGTGTAGGATCCCCTAATCTTCAGATATAGATGGCCCTGGTGTCTGGTTTGCGCCAGGTAGCAGTGCCATCTGTTAGTGCAATAGGTCACCTCTTGGAACAAGGTGAGATGAATGTTCACCCGGCTAAAGTTCAAGGACTTTCTCAGGCTTTCTCGCTTTCCGTTTTTGGAACCTCGAACAGTGGCGATCGTTGCAATGGACACCACCAGTAAATTGATCAACGATTGATTAGGGGAACTCCAGTGACCCCTGTCTCTTGCCAAACCTTTGCATGTCCAAAAGTTAAGACCTTGGACCCTCAAACTTCCCGTGAGAGAATGGGTTTTCCCTATAAATCGTTGGGTCAATAAGCCATGTTTTCACCGAGTAGTTTGAGGCTCCATGGTCCATTGGTCATGGAAATCCCAAACCCAGCGGTTTCAGGGGACCTGTTCCGTCAGTGGGACCCAGCCATGCCTGGCAAGCCTTTGCCATGGTCCATTTGGTTTTAAGGGTGGCACCCCTTTGACCTACTGTACAGCTAAATGGCATCACTGGGTTGCTAAGAACCTTTGGCTTGTTTAAGTTTTGTGGCAACAGCCCAACAAACCGCACCACTTGCCGCTCAAAAACTTCCCTATTTTTGGGAACGCCCCCCAGATGGCTTGGCAAGCCCTTGCGAATAACTAAATGGCATCACTGGGTTGCTAAGAACACCCCCTTGGCTTGACTGCTCTTGGGTTAGATCTTTAGACTTTAACTTTTTGGTTGAAATCAAGGGGGTTTTCCACCAAACCCCCAAAAAGGTAAGCTTTTTGCAGGGTCGTTGGGAACCCCCCAAATGGCTTCGTTCAAAGGCATCGACGAGTTCCAGCAGAAGCTCGCCTACGACGGCTTCGCGACGGCTCTTCTGCCGCCGGAGGTGGTGGAGAAGCTGCGGGGTCTGGCGGTGCCTCGGAAGTGGCAGAGGTCCTGGACTATCTTCGGGGTCTTTGCTTGAGGGACGTCTTTTTTGGTTTGTTAAAGTTGTTTTAAAAGGGACACCAAAAGGAAGACAACAATTGTTTGGAGGTTGGAAACTCGAAATTGGTTTGTCTCAAATTGAGAGCTAAGGATTCATAAGCCAAGTTGATTGACGGGAGTGTGCCATTGAGGGGAAGAAGGGGGACACATGTTGTATCTGCAAGGTGTGTGAATCCGGGGACTCATAACTCAGACGTGTTACAAGATCATGTACATCCAATCCAGGGAAGAACGAAGACGCTGCCGAGCGGTTCGTTCGCAAGATGTCTGACGCTTGCAAATGTTGGGTTGCATGTGGCAGGATACGCGGCAAAGCAAAGAGTTCTCAGTTGCCCCCAAAGGGGACCTGAAAGTAAAAGGTGATCACCTTCTGGGACCTTTCCTAAATATGGTTGCCAGCAAACGGTCAAAAGCTCGATTCGCTTTGGGCAGGTGAGAATCTTCGAACGCCAAATTAACCTCGAATCATTAAACCTGGTTGATGAACACGGTGTCCCATTTCGGGGAAATCCTTCACACTCGGGAAAACCCACCCCTGATTAACCCACCGTCATGATGCTTCAGCCTCTCACGCGAAAGAGGGTACCCTCCCAAGCAGTCAATGCTGTCCCCAGAGTACTAAACCTTTGGTTGGCTAATAGCCAATCAAGAAAGCATCCGAAGATATGGGTTTAGGCTATTGATTAAATGATAGCCAAAAAAAAAGACAAAACAACACAGGAGTTGAAGGTGAGTCACCCCCCCATTTCAAAAGGTTAATGGAACCCATGACATCCCCTACAGACTTTTGATGGTAAGTATCGACCGTTGCTGGCATCGTGGTCCACCCCCTTGTTTAAATATGTTAAAACCACTGGTCAAACAACCTGTTTGTCGCTTCTCTTCAAAAAGGAGGGTCCGGACTCACTTTCCCAGTGGATGGCCAAGAACAAGTCCAAACCTTTTGCTTAAAAGTGTGACTGGGAGGTTGGATTCTTGGCTCGGAGTTCTGGCAGAGAACTGGTTCTTCGCTCAGGTCGAAGCATTCGCCGAAGAGGTGGGCACCGAAAATGGAGCGTTGGTTGGAGCAAGTTACGAGCGCACCGAGTCCAGGCTGAAACGAGCTCACCCAATTTGAAGGTTGCCTGCTTGGGGATTTCTTATGTCCGGCTTTTGACTCAGAGAAGGTTTGCCCACATGTATCACCAGACCATAAGTCGGTTTCCGCTACCCCCAAACCACTACCCCAAGGCAACATGGAGTAAATAGGCCGCATTATGGCCTCTGTCTAAAGGCTACATTTGCCGGGGTATTGGTAGGTTGCCATGTAGTTTCTTATTGGGGTGTTCAAAAGGGTGAGCTGTGGCAGACTAGAACCCTTTGCCTGGGGAAGGGACCGAGAATTGGGTGAGCTTCCCCTACTGGAATGATTGCCTGCTTCCCCAAAGGCTGGAAGCTGAGTCTCTGCCCAAGTCCCTGGGTTCAGGGTTCCAGGGGCTTCTGGGATACGTACGGGCTTATTTTTGTCCGGGCTTAAGCAAACGGACGAGAACCCTCACTTCCATTCACGTAAAGATAGTCTTACTTTCCCCGCTTGGTTTTGAAGGGAATCGGGTTCACTACCGGAATATGTTTACATTTCCCAGAGACTTAAACAAATAGAGCCCTTGATTTGTAGTGGAGACTAGTTTGGGGGACCCTCATTCTTGGTTTCATGTTACTTTGCAGCCGGACTCAAACAAATCGAAACAGTACATTGCCATTTCTTTGAGAATAAGTATATGTTTGATTTCCCCATGTTTTTTGTTTTTTTCCAAGGACTTCTACGCAAATGGAAGCGTAGCCCAGGTTGTTTCACGACGCGACGCGGGTTTTAAAAGCGACGTCATTCGATCGTCCGCTGCGAAGGCGGCCGGCTTCCAAAGGGCGAAGCCCAGCGCGCAGGGCTTCCCTCCGCGCATGGCGACTCGCCCGCCGTTGGCAAAACACGCCGAGAGGCGTCGAGGCTTCCAGGTGTCCGGTGGCCCTTGTGGCGTTTTTGGTTTTGTCTTTCTGGAGTGCGGTGGGACTTTTTGTGGGTTTCTCAGTCCCTGAGGTCCTGGACTTCAGTGACTTTGTGGGTTTGGTTGCCATTTTAATGGTAATTCAAGAAGTTAGGATCATTTTCCCGCCAATCCACTCGGGGTGCCGCGCTTTGTTTGGAGCGGGGTGGCCCTTCCTCACCAAATCGGTTGCTTTCGGCTGCGATCCAGACATGAGAACGTCGCAGGGAGTCCATGAGCAACGGCAACAAGAGGCTTGTTCGGGGACCTCTTTTGGGCTTGGGTGGATTTTTGTTTGACCGCCATTCGGGTGGTCAGGTTGGACCATATCTCTACTAATTATTGGTGCCCTTTTACCCTTTTTTGGGGGAGGGTTCCCCTACTAAAGTGACTACAGAAAACGAGAAAAAAGGGTACCCTTTTTCTAACCTCTCTACTGGAGGACCTATAGTCTAGGGCGATGGACCAAATGATCGGACCAAAGGAGTTCCATCGCTGAGGAGTGGCACTGGGCGTCGGAGGGAACCGACGGCAAAACCGTCTTTAAGGAGGCGGCCGTAGCTTGGAGCTGAAAGTGGGGTCGATGGGCCCGGATAGGCAGGGTATTGTTGGGAACATGGATTTTGAGTTCTGTAAGCACATGGTGGTGTGGGAACAAGGTTGTTTTTTCCCCACTTCTGTGATGCCAAGCAACCTCCCCTTAATGGGTTTGTATCACAGAAGGGGTGATTCCCACAACTCTGCAGATAGGTTCTGGAAAGGTTCCGAGCGGGTGTTGACTAGGGTTCCGGAAGGTTGCTGTGGATACCACTCGGACCTATGTTTTACAAGGGTACCCTCTTATCAGAATTCAACAGTAAAACTACCATGTTTCGGGTCCCCGCATTTTGGAACATACCAATTTGTTGGTTTGTTTGCCTTTTTAGGCGAGGACCTTGGGTATCAAGCCACGTTTGGCAGCAGGTGGGTTTGCTGAACCCTTGTGTAAGTCAAGTGGCTGGAAGACATTTTCCCAGAGTGTTGTCGCTTTGCATTGGACGAGACATTGCAACTACCAGTCTTGAGGCTTTCGGACAAAGAGACTGTTAAATGTACGTTCTTGGACAGTACGTTGAGGCCTTTTGAAACAGGGTTTGTGTTGTGTTCCACTTTCGTACCCCCTGCAGCTCAACATGAAACCCGGAAAGCCATCATGTCAGAGGAAGCTTCTTTGTTGCTCGCTTGTGTGAGTGCCACATGTTAAATTGAAATTTGCAGGGGAGAAACAACAATATGAAAAACAAAAACAAAAACCAACTCGCGTTTTCAACACCAAGGACGTGCTTTCCCAGTACCTGCCGAACTTTAATCTGGTCGCTGCCAAGTTCATTGTCGCTACAGGACCTGCGGCGGGCCAGCTTGTTTTGTTCCAGTGTCCTTCCATTTGTACGTGTCTCGCTTAACAAGAAACAGAGTCGCTTATACTTTCTGCTTCAGAATCGACTCTGGAACACACTAAAACTTTTGTTGTATAGGTGCAATATGGTTTCGTTGTTCGACATTTTGACGGGTTCTGTGCAGTCCATTTTAAAAAATGAGTCACGCCCATGGGTGTTCCCCATCTCTCAAACTCCTGGTGTTCTGCTAAAACCGGGCTTCCCATTGCCTGAAGCCCGGTCCAGGAAAGCGCTGGAGACTTCCAACAACCTCAGCCTTTGTCCACACGATGTTTGGTTTTGGCCCATATCTGGTGAGCCTCAATTGTGCCCTTCCACCAATTAACCTGAAACCCGGCGTACGGGACCCGGTCCCTTTAAAATGAACATGGTCCAAACCAGGACCCCCCTTTTTGTCAGGTTCCATGTTAGTTGGTGGGAGGGTAAGATAACTGGGTCTCTTCCCACATATGTTATGGATAATGAAACAGAATCGGAGCATATTATGTTCCGACCCCAGATGTGGGCCAAGATAAGTTCAAATGGGATCAGACATGAGCAGTCGGGTAGCGGCCAAAATCAAATCCTTATCTACGTTTTGTTGCCCAGTGTGGTGCCCTTTATTCCTTTTTCTGGGGAAGGGTTCCCCTTTAAGCTCAACCAAAACGGATGCCGATTCTTTTTGTCCCATGCAAATCCACCGGGCATGTGAGTACGAATGAGCAAAGCAGCAAATCATCGGTTGCCAAGCACCAGCCTGTCAAAAGTCAGCTCTTTACTGCGTTGCCTAGTTTCCGTGTTTAAAGCCCTAAAGCAAACTTCCCCTATAGGTCCCCCACAACTTTGCCCTTTGACAGGGTACCTAAAATACACATTCGGGCCACTTCAGCAACAAAACGCCTGCTGATTTACAGGAGCCCCTTTTTTCGGCACCCCCCAAACCCCTTCCCCCCAAACCCCTTCCCCCCAAACCCCTTCCCCCCAAACCCCTTCCCCCCAAACCCCTTCCCCCCAAACCCCTTCCCCCCCGCCCAAACCCTCTTAAAGAGCCGGTTTCCGGAGCAACTGCTATGGGCATCTTTGGGGCCGGATCCGGCATCGACCCTCAAAGTTCCCTTAAACAACCCAATTCTTGGGTAAACCATCCCAGATTTTTGGGGCAGCCGCCCAATTTTCAGGAGACCTTGAGGGTCCGGGTGCACATGTCAAGAGTTGGGACCCCCTCTTCAGGGTTGCTGGTGGAAGCAAGTCCCCACCTCTGATGTCCACCATTCGGGTCCAACAGAATTCATATCCATGCTTGACCTGGTGAGTTTCAACAGATCCTGATCCATTTGGGTCCCTCATTGAAACTCGCATCCAAAAGTTGGCCGTGACTTTTTTCTGAGGGGGCTGTAAGACCTCGTTACAGACCTCGTTACAGACCTCGTTACAGACCTCGTTGCAGACCTCGTTGCAGACCTCTGTAAAATTCACAGCCATATTGGACTCGGTTGGCTCAAACATCACCATGTGGACCGCGAGCCAAACCCAAAAATGGACTCGCCTCACGCCTGCACAGGCGAGTGCCGACCGGAGGACGCGAGGTTCCACCAGGACCAACGGAACGTCGGGCGGCATCGATCGGGGTTTTGTGAAACATCGCAGACCGACTAGTGCTGATGCCATATGGGACCTCTGCGTGAAAGCGACTGTTTTCTGGGGACACCCTTTTGTCAACCCAAACAGATTGGGGCAGAGTGGCGCATGCCTGGATCTTCCATTGTTATGTAAATTTCTGCCCCTTCTGGATTTCCGTCACGTTTCCTAAATTGTTGCTCGTTTCGGGAAAATCTGCTCGATCAGAGTTGGCGCAACGCTGGCCTGATAGTTGGACAAGCGGCCAAACTCAAAGAACACATGCAAAAGCAGCAGGGAGATTGCAGGGTAAGGCTCGGGCCTGAACCAATGCGCAGCACCCGGGTCATTTGTTTTGTTTGGTTTCCATCTTATTTTCGGCGGCCTTGGTTGGGCACACGGCCTGCAAATTTAGAACCGCTCGCTTGGCAATGATTCTTGCAGAATTCTGGCATTGCGCAGCAGCCAACAGGCCAAACTCAACAAACTTGCGCAACAGCTGTTTCACCGAGGAAGCAATCGTACCTGAAAATGGGATTTGCGCTCGGTTGCTGCTTTTTGCGCTCGGGTTGCGGCGATTTGCGCTCGTTTTGCGGCCGTTTCCGCGCGCGCGTTTTCCTCCAAAGCTCACCGAATCGTGTGTGTCATTGACCGAGGACAGGTTGTGCAAATTCATTGATATCAGGCCCTGGAAACAGGCACCCCAATAATGGATCAAGTCATGCAGCCAAAGGCAGCTGGAATTTAATGTTGATTCAAGGGTCTCCACTAAGTTTAAGAGCTCCCAGCATGAGCTCTTCAAACTGGTATCATGCCCTCTATCCGGGTACATGTACTTAGCGTTTTGCCAAGCAACACACTTGGCCAGCTCCCAGCTACATATGCCGGGAAGTTAAATTAGTACGTTTATTAGGATTTCCGCTCGAATCGCTCGAATTGGACAAAAACATTACGAACCCACAAAAACAATGACAACAACCTAAAGGTACAAGAATTTATGTAACGATGGAAGCTCCAGGTGGGCTTCATCGCATACTGTCGATGGACGAAATCCGTTCGCACCACTTTGAAGCCATGGCTGAAACCATTGATCAGCTTTCAATTTACATGGGTGTGGCTCAAACTGAAACGATCGGGGCAAAGCGCAGGTTTTGGTCCATTCCATTTAGCAGGCTTCCATTTGGTACCGGTTTTTTGAGCCACAGCCGCATGTTAGAAGCCACAGGGGATATTTCAACAATGAGTGCACTCTCTTGGCAGTCTGTTAGAGGAATCCAGCTGTGTGGATTCGGCATCGACTCATTGACCACCATGGATTCGGCTTCTTTGAATGGTTGACCATTCGGAACCCTTCAAAAAACATTGGGGCCTTTGACGTTTTCTTGGTTGAAATGAGAGAGACGTTTTCAAAATTCAGCGTTCAACCGGTAAAATGTTTACTTGAGATCAAAGCGTCCACCTTCAAAACTTTGGCATGTCATGCCAGTAGACGAGAGCTTGGCGGGTGAGACCCCAAAGGCCACGTTTTTTTGCCTGAAAACGAAAGGGGTGTTTTACAAAGTACAAAAGGTGATCAACCTTTGCCGCGCCTTGGAGCAACCCAAAGATCCCACCTGAACCCTTGTTAAAAAAATGGAGTTTACACCAACATGTTGGGACCGTTCAAATATAGATTTGTCCCCACCATTTTGGGGCGACGACCGTCATCTTTAAGGCTAGTTGCAGGGTCCCTGGTGGCTCCCAGCCATCCCCTTAGCTTTTTAGCTTTTTAGCTTTTTAGCTTTTGAGTGTTTAGTGGTTGGTCTTCCATTTAGCCCACTAAAAGTGAGTCGCTTTTGGCGGATCTGAAAACGGGCAGCCGTTTTGGTCGGATCAGGCGCTGGTTTTGGGAAATTCTGCGCGGGGATCAGATCGAGCGCAGGACTTCGAGTCTCCGAATGTGCCGCTGCTCGCCACGGCCACGGTGGCTGGGACGGAAAAACCGAGCCCTCGGGTGGGGCGCCGAGGGCGGATATCCCCGGGGTCGTTTTTTTTTTTTGCAGGTGGATATTCTACTAGGTGCCCCATCTAGGTGCACTTTCTCACCCCCTTTTTTGGCTAAAATGGACTACAGAAAGAAGGGTACCCTCATTCTCAGCTCTCTACTGGAAGACCTAGTCTATTTGGAAACCTCACAAACTTATTCAAAAGGACAGCCGCCACATGGGTGTTTTCTTCCAAACCCTCCAATTTGTACGAGCCGGTTGTTGTGTGCGGTGTTTCTTTGCGGCCGAAGGGGCCCCCAATCGGCGCCGTACGTGTTCCAGAAAACGTTGTGGCATGGAGGTTGGCACCTTAAGCCTTAGGGCCCAGACGCTCCAATTCGATGAATGCTCCGGGCTCTACAGCCGGGTTTTGAGACCCCAAACACCTGCGGGGTGTCTGCTGGAGGGTCTGGGTCTTCCAAGCCGAAGCCAGGAGCCTCCGGGAAGCCCAATGAAGTCATCCCAGCTTTGTGGCCACTTTAAAGCCCAATGGAAGTCATCTCATCATCATGGAACCCTTAACCCGATTACTCTACTGCCATCATCATCATCATCATCATCATCATTATCATCATCGTCATCATCTTCATTGTGTGCAATTACTCTATTTACCCTTAACCCCCCCGTGCGCCGCTGCTGGAAGCCCAACTTAGCTCTTATTAAGCCCTTTGAGTGGTTTAAAAACCATTTTGAGATAAACCCGCATGCCCAAAACAGAATACACTGCCTTTGTCCAATTATTTGAGGCGTCCGCTTCAAGCGATGAATTACCCATTTGGAGTGCTCTCTAGTGGCAGCACAGAAGCAGGCAAGTTCCTACAACCCGGAACATTAGACGTGACCGTTGCTTCCAGAGAGCACAAGACTGCGTGGTGTCAGGCACCCTGAGCACAAGTTGTGCTTCGACTGGTTTTGTCGAGTTGCTCGCTGTTCAGACCCATCATGTTTGCAGCGCGTTGTGTGAGGTTTTTTTACAGATGCTACAGTTCCTGCTTGCAAACAAACACACCCCCAGCAAAACTGGCACAGCGCTGCTGTGTGTAGTGGACACTGGGGTAAACCCGTGGCTTCTTGGTTCGACCCCTATTTTCCATTTCCACGGGGTGAGTATCAGAACTCGGGTAAACGAATAGATGGCCATGGGTCATAACCTATGCCTCCCATGTACCACTTATTCTGATGTTCAGGGGAACAGGGTTTTGACCCACAGCCAAATAGCTACGACCGCCCTTTGGATTCTTCGCCATGATCTTCGGGTCGATTCCCCAGTTTGCCCGTGGCCAGCTCTAGAGGCCATGGTTTTTGGGGCTTCGGGTGAAATCAAAAGGAGACCGACGCCCATTTTGGAGGGTTCCTTTGTTGGGGACGCCCATTTTTGAAACCATGCCAGGATTCCGGCCTTGGCTTTAAAGGCTTAGGAGTATGTTAGCACACACACACAGACACCATCCATTTTACCAGGTTTGATCATGTCCCCCCCTAAGCACAGCTGAATACGGATTCTGAGTATGTTGTTTAAATTTATTGGGTCATCAAGCCTCCAGTGCATTTCCTGATTCTGTTTTAGTCTTCTCTTCTTCACTTGCCGTGTTTTGCCGGTCATTTCAGTGCGTTTCAAAATGCGGGCTAGACCTGACTTTTTGCCAGCGTTTTGATGCAGACGTTGCTGGTTTCAGGCCTTGCTTCCGATTTGGCCCCTCGCCTTCCCGGAGAAAGAAGGGAACTTGGAGTACTACACCTGGGCTCCTCGCCTCTCCTTCGGGTCGAAGGGTTACTCGAAGGGACGGGATATGTTTCTGGAGCCTCAAACTAGGCCACCAACCCCCCCGGTTTGAAACAACGATCGGTTTTTGAAAAGGATGGTGGAAAAGAATGGTTGGAATCAACTCCAGTGTTTTGTTTCCTGCCCAAAAGGGAAACCGGTTCCTGGGCATAAGTCCACTTGGATTTCTCAGATGGGTGCGGTGGATGAAGAATTTTGCCATGCTCACTTCCTGAGTTCATGAACTTTAAACTTTTTGGGAAGACCGTTTTAGTGGTACAGAAAAAGTGTGGACTTTTTTGGGGCCATCCACTCAGCCAGTGAGCATGGGGTTGTTTGAACTCAACATTTGAATGGCCATTGGCTGAGGTGACCTGGTTCGATGAGCCAAGGTTTCGGGTTTCGTCCTGAACCGGCAAACTGGGAATGACTTTTCCCGGCGAGAGCATGCCCAGCAACCTGCCCGGCTCCCCCCCCCCCCGGCACACAAAAATAAAAACAACAACCTCCCACCATTGTCTCAACTCAGTGGTTGAGTGGCACCCTGTTTCCCCTTTTTTTTGTGTGGCTGCCCCACTAAAAATGGTCTTCCCCAAAAAGGGTTCAAATTGTTTTTTTGTCCAGTCACTGCACAACTGAGTCAATTATCTATTTTAGTCTTTCGGCTTGGAGCTCGAAGGTCTGAAGTCAAAGGGTTTGAAAAGGGTAGCCTCAAGAGAAACCAAACGCTACCAGCCCGGGTTGAAACTAATTATTTCAGCTACCATGGTGGGATTCTTCAAAGATGTCAGCCTTAACTTGGCAGCCAGGGTTGGTGGTTCTGGCCGAATCGGATCTCAGGAAGTACTGAGAAGCTCTCTAGGTCGGAATGTGATAACTGGGGGCTGATCAATATTCCGTTCAGCCCCAACATGAAGGGACTGGGGGTGTTTGGGGGGGGTGGTTGGGGCATCCCCTTCAAACAGGCTTTTCGGTGCTTTTCGGTGACAACTCCCGAGACAGAATTGTCAAATTCATCTAGGAAACTGGGCCTTCCTTCCTTTGTCCTTCTGAGTGGTAACCAGGGTTACCCACCAAAGTTATGGTTGCAAGTCCCCAGAGTTGGAAACTATTTAGGGATTGATCAAAAGGTCCTTTACATGGGGTGACCATTGGGGAAGCCACTGGGAAAAGTGGCCCGTGTGCCATACACGGGCTGGAGTCAGCCTTAGAATCGCTTTCCGATTCCGAGGATGACTTGATGGCTTCCAAGAAGGTGGACGCAACCCAGGTCGAGGAGATCGCGGCTCGCTGAAAGCATTTGGAACACATTTTGAGCGGTTCCCGGCCCCGTGCTTCCATGGACGGCTACTCACTCCCTGGGTTCCTGGACTTTTTTTTGAGTAGCCACCAAACTGCGTGTTATTGTTTGGGCAACCCACTCAGGAAGTGAGTTGAACACTTCTGACCTTTATCATGGAATATTCCTAGTGACTAAGGACCTTCTGTTTAGCCGCGCAGAGTTGGATTTATGACATATGCCGCCACAAGTCTCACGATTAGCAAAGGATCAACGAGTCACTAAGACGTGAGCACCGCCCAACACATTCCAATTGGCGCCTTTTCTGACTGCAGGGTTTTGGAGCATGTGAGTAGAGGTTTCCACTGCGTGGTTTGGTGGGCACTGTAGCAAGACTTATGCATAAGCCTTTATGACAATCTTAGTAGATCCACTGAAAACCCATTAAGCTCAAGGTAAGTAAAAGACCGTCCCAACTATGAACAGGTGCGGATAATATCCGCCCTTTCGTTTTTGTTCTGTGGTGTTGGGTGAGCTCCATTAGTAGTGACACATGAGTTTGGATGGCTGAGCTTACGTTGTTGACCGACGGTTTGGCGGCACCCCGTTTTTCTCAGTTGGTGATGCTCGAAGGACGAGCAACCAATGGGCCCGAGGCATGGCTACTGGCAGCTGTGAAAAATGAGGACCCAAAAGTAAAGAGGCTCAAAGTGGGTTTTTTCCTTTGCCACACTTCGCAGCGCTTAGATGCTGACCACACATGTTTGCCGCTCTATGCTTGTTTTGAAAGAGTCCTGCCCTTTCATGGAACTAAGTTTTGAGAAGCAAGAATGGGCAAGTTTAGGTCAAAACCGGTCCCTTCAGCCCCTTTTTTGAGGATTAAGGACACACTGAAGCAAGATGTTACCGTCGTGGCCTGGCTCGAGCAAATCAATGCCTCAGCCGCTTGCTGCCCGCTTCCCCCTCTCAACCCCACACTCAGAACTACGTGGAGGGTAGGGAACCGTAGACAGGTGCGGATATTTATCCTGTTGATTCTGTACCATGGATTCTTCGCAGACCCCTGTAATACCAGGTGGGGTTTTTCTCTCTTTGATTACTGCTGTGCAGCAAACGTGCTGAGATACCCTGGGCTTGGGAGAAATGCCAGGCTCGTTGTGTGGTTTTGGGTAGACCCCTTCAAAACCAAGATTTGCCTATGACTCGAACTTGACTGGAAAAAGCCTAGATGGTGCAAGTGCAAATCGGTCGATGTGTTTTATTTGGAATGGAGCATTTGCAAGTCGCCTGCCAATCTATTTTCCACAGGATGGATCTGCTTGCGGTTTTTCAGGATGCCTGACCACCTATCTTCAGGCAACCCTGAAGTGGTGGTTTGGATTGGTGGGAACTGGCGATTTGAACCCCTGGTTCTTGTAGAGGGACATGGGAAACTCCTGTTTAACCACCAAACCACCGGGCTCGAAACCGCTAAGTAGAAGGTCAGTTGTTTCAAGAGAATGATGGTTTTGCCTATTGTTAGAAATTCAACCTGTTGAAAAGGCTTTTCTTGTGAGTTGTGGCCCCCCTTTCGCTTCTGGTGTAGGTCTCCATTTTAAGCTGTCGGCGGCGCTCGGGTTTGATCTCGGACTGAGTTGGCCTTCAGCAGAGTTCACCGCTACGTGCCGGGCGAAGCGGCGGTCTTCGACGGCAAGCTCTTCCACCGCACCCAGCCCTTCTCTGCACCTCGGCGTTTCGGGCGCTTTCCCCGAAACGAGCCTTCAGGGGGCATCGTCTTTTTGTTGTTTTGTTCTTCGCGATTTGCACCCCCAAGTGCTGTGTTTTGCTTTTTGGTGTGCCTTTAAAGCTATGTGAACATCACAAAAACAGGAGTAATCACAAAAACTAGTACCAATCAATAGAAGACGCACCCGAATGGGTATCTTCCCGTCCACTCCAATTGCAACATCAATCTCTGGAACTCAACAGAGGGCTTCCAGTGAGGAAAACGGACCCAAGGCTCCATGGAGCCTTGTGGATGTGAAGTCACCAAAGCCCAAAGCGAACCGGATCGGATCTGACCGGATCAAGTGTTTGTTTGTTCCTTTTCCGGTTTTTGGGTTCTGTTCATTCGTAGCTTCGGGGACTGCAAAAAAACAAAGTCAGTGTTGGAATCCTAGTTGGTCCGTATCTAGTATGTTGGTCTCACAAATATGTCTTGAAGCACCTGCATTCCGCCTGTCTGACTTCAATGCCCCAAAGGGTGACCACCTTCTATTTTTGGGTATCCGGGGCTATCAACATCGAGATGACCAGAATGGCTTTGCTGGTTTCCCTAGCCACCCCTTGTACCTTCAAACGCAAAGCCACTCACCGCGTAGGCTTCGGGGCACTTGTTCAAGATGTGTCCAGCTAGCTTGGCTTGTGTTGGGAGTGTAAAACAAATTGGAATCCGGCTTCGCACAAAAGAAGGCAAAGGCATTCACATGCCTCAAATCAATCCACTTTTGACTCTCTCATTCATGCGATTCATGGACACCAAAAGGACGCATGTGGTGTCATTGTTTGCCCGGCCTTAGAGTCGAGAGGCTGGAGTCGTGACACGCACCCCTAGCAACCAGAGAAGTACCCTCTATGGTCCTATGAAACGGCTATGGTCCTTTGAAACAGCCTGGATACTAGGATGGCAACGTGGACAGATTGACCCCTGGATCAACATGGGCTAGCTTCCTCCACCATTGCGAACTTCCCCGAAAGGTCCCCAAAAGCGGATGCCACGGGCCTCAACACTGCCCCCCAAAAATGGTGATTGGCCAAGGTGAAACACACACCTCTCAAGGGTAGTTTGAGGGTCCAGGTCAACATTGATTGAAGTTTTCCGAACCCTCAAAGAAAAACACCCCAAATAGCATTCAAGTCTGTACTGCACTTCCATTTTGGGGGTTCACTTCTGGCAATCCCTTGTGGCTCCCCTATTCAGCTAGGTAGAGTCTTTTTTTGCTCGCCGGCTCAGGAGTTCGCTTTTGCCTCGGAAAAGGAGTCGGAGCCGCTGTCCAAGATGCGGGTCTTGGCGTTTTGGCCGCGGAAGGAGTCTTATTCTTTGGCGGGGTTTTGGATCTCGGGGTCTTCCGTGTGGTTGTTGCTTTCCCTGTTTTTACAGGGATCCCAGCACAACTATGTGTTTTTTAGGGAACATACCAAATGGACGATTCTCGTTTGGGGGTGGTTTCTCATTGAACCGCGGTTCAGAGGGAAATGTTAGGATGTCACTTGAATCCGGCTTGTTCAGATTCGGTCCTTAATCCGCATGCCGGATGACGCTTCAAGACTGCTTCGGCCATGCTGCGAGGTTTTAGGCATGGCACCAGGATGTCATGGCGGCATCTTATGACTGTGGTTTCCAAAGAGGAGTGATTGGCCCCTGAGAAAGGTTCCGCCGAACCCTTTTATATACTCACTTGCTCAAAGTCGACCTTTTGACATTTAGGTTTCCTGAGTTGGTCCATCTTCAGTCATGGCCCGAAAGAGATAACCCTTTTTTCTGGGTTTGCTGTACGCTTGGGGTAAGCCGTTCCTGGGTGCATCTGAAGACGTGGAGCATTGATGCTGTGGATGTCCATGGCACAAGCGAGGTATATGTCATGCCCCCAGCGTGGCGCTTGGTTTTTACCTCCTCCTCCATGAGGAAGGGATCATGAAAGTGGCACACTTCTCCGTTCACTGCTTCTTAGGCCATGGACTGGCCTGCTCCATGGCAATCCTCAAAGTCCTTTCCATCACTTAGAAACTTTGTGGTGGTTTGCCAAGGAAGGAATCTGGAAGACCGGATTGAATAACACTCCATTTGACCAGCCCATGAACACGAGAAGATGAAGCAGAGCGCATAACTGGCCTATGGCGTTCGAGCACTAACAGATTGTTCCTGACGTTTACAAGGAGTTTCGCATTGGATGTTCAGATGCAGTACTCAGAAAGCTCATTGAGTGAAGCATTTAAGCTTAGTCGCACACCAAGCCAAGCGGCGCCGGAAATCCTGCACCATGCTCGACCACAACCTCAGTTTGTTTCCCACAAGGGAGATCGGTTCAAAGTACCAACCTGGCTCTGGAGTTCGATATCCAGTTGTTCGAATGGCAACGTGCGCCAAGAGTTGAGCGTGAGCCCAGACCGAAACTCAAACCAATCCCAGCCGTGTATCATGTTGTAACACCACCTCGGAGGCACCAACCCAAGTTGCCTCATGGCGTCACCAGCCAGCCTGCCCCGTGTAAGTAGCTTGAAGAGCACCACCCTTGTTTCTAGCTTCTGCAGCCCAAGCACTGCAGTCCGCGGCTTTGCTGAGGTGTCGTACTACTTTGCCCAGCTACCTCCGGACAATGTTTGGGAAGGCCTGGCAGCTTTTCTCAATGTTTGGCCTAGCAAGCTCTTGGCAGTTCACTTGAACAGCCCTGCACATGAACACGCTTCTCCATGCTGCCCTAATTGTTGGTGTCGTGTGAGGACACTTTGTGTTTGAAGTTTGTGCCGCCACAGGGTTCTTTCAACATGTGGGCGTTTCCTGAAGAGACTGTTTGGGATTTGGGATGTTAGGTGGGGGAAGAAACTTAAAGCCTCCCACAGAAACGGGAGGGTCCGAATTCTGGCAGCATCCGAGCGCCCTCGTGCGGGTGTGTGTGTGTGTGGAGTATTTCGGTGTTGTTGTGGTGGGTGGGTGTTGCTTTGACTTGGTGATGGCTTCATGCCGGCAGCTTCATGTGAGTGTTGTGCGACATTAGTTTGCAGCGCTGTCTATGATAGTGTTCAATGTTTTGGGTCGTTGTTTTTTTTCTCAAAGTGGACTGTGTTTACATTGGGGCAGTTTTGGCCTATAGTAGTAAGCCACATTTTGCACGGGGGGTTTTCCGCACTTTCAAGACCTTTGCTTCTTTGTATCGCACAAACATGTGTTTGTGCATTGATCTTGCGGCTAGGCAGCAGCATGACTATACTGTCCCGCCTGCTGAGTTGCACACTCATATCGCTTTACAAAGGCCGTCATGCGAAGAGCGGCAACTCCCCCCCCAAAGGCCGTTGGCCCAACATGTTGAAGCAGACCTAGTTTTTGACCACGCATGCTCCATGAAGGGAGCTACGGCTTCCATGCTGACTCTCTTCTTGATTGGGTTGCTCCCGGTGTCGTTTTGATTTACGCTTAGGTGTGGTCATGTTGCGTGTTCCGTGCTATTCGTGTGTGTTTTCTTTCTGCTGGTTTGGCTGTGCCTTTACTGCGAGTTCTTGTTGCTCAGCGTTCGTACTGCTTTCTAATTTCTGTGCGGTAGGAGCCGTGACGTTTGACCAGGTTGGTGTGCCATGTTTGTGATGGCTGTCCATGCTTTAGACTTTGTTTGCAGCAAACGAAGGTAAGCCAGTGTTTCTCCTGAATCCTTTGCTCTCACTGAAGTCATTTCTCAAAGGCAAAGGACACATGCGTAGAATTGGTTCGATTGCCAATTACATGCCAGGGCTTCCAAGGATTGATTGCAGGGTTTGCGTGTTTCCTTCGCTGGCAAAGAAACAGCTCCAGCAGCATTGTTCAATTGGACATGTTTGCCTCTAGTCTTTCTGGTTGCCCACTTCAGTGGAAACTTGAAGCGCTGGGATATATACATATATGTATATATTAATATGTGTACATATATATGTATATACGTACATATGCATAATATTTATATATATATAGAGAGAGGGAGAGGGTGTTCACTTCCCCCCCCCCACCCCCTTCCCAAAGGAACATACTATACACTCCCTATATATACAATTATGGTAGTAATACATAGTTGAATAGTGATTATATTGCGGTTTTTGTAATGGTCGTATGGTGTATACTAAAGAAATGGCTTGTGGTTTGGGGGTTGTGGAGCCAGGCGACGTGAGGAAGACCCTGGCGAGCCAGGGCGCGCCCATCCCGTGAGCGACCGCCCGGCGCGCGTTCGGCATGCGGAGCAAAAGGGGCGGAGCGATACTTCGAGAGAGGAGCGGGAAAGGGTAGGGAACTTGGTCTCAATTTGTGAAGGTTCTGTGGTTTCCATGCGATCCATCTGCTTTTATAAGGATTAAAAACCAAAGCATTCGCAGACGTGTGCCATCCGCAGTTTGACGAAGCTGCCTAGTGAGTGTGAAGTCTTTTCACAAATCAGGGGGTACTACTCTTGAGGCGTGCCCTTCAGATGTGTTTGTTTGTTTTTACAGATACCCTCTTGAGGCTTGCCATTGCCATTCAACACCCGGTTGTTTAGCCTTTTTGGAAATCAACCTTAGCTTTTCGTGCAGTCAGTGACAGTCAGTGAGCACATACATGTTTCTCATTGTGGCCCAGACGCTTCTTGGGAAATCTCCCGATGTGTGGCAGCTGGCCTTTTTCATTGGGCAATAATGCAGGTGCCTCTTGAATCGACCGTACCTCAGGCTACCTCTAATCGGAGGTGGGGGATTTGAATGGCGCTTGTGGGTAGGGATAACCACCAATTGGGTGTGTCTTTTCTTTAGGGTACCCGGGGATCCATTGCTCGTGGTTTGCAAAGGGAACCTAAAAGGACACCACCTCTTTGGGGGTCCCCAAAAAAAAACAACACAAGTAGAGGCAAGCTGAGTACTCCGCCCACTGCCAATGCCCATGCACTGCCTGTCAGGCATTGCCGAACCTGGGCCCAGGCCCCAGGAAATTGTTGGGGAGAAAGGATATCAGGGAACTGCGAGCCAGGAGTTTCGACATGTGGGAGAAAGGTCCGAAAGGTCCCTTGTATTGGGAGATATCAAAGGGAAATCTTTGTGGTCTTAGCATTCCCTCCGCGAAAGCTTCGCGACGGAGGTCGCAAGAGTTATTTTTGTCCGGAAAAGTCTTAAGGGTAGTTTGCACATTGTGGGTTTATCTCGAAATAAGGGAACCCATAAATGGATGTTGGGTTGACGGTGGGGTTTGCCCGGACTTTCATGCTGCCCCGTGCGTGCTGATCCTCGCTGCTGTTGAGGGATTCGGGGGGGCTGGGGGGAGATGGAAAGAACACGGGTCAACCAGTCGAACCCGAGCCCCCAGGCCTACACGCCATGTGACTTCTCCGCTATCTGCGCGCTCTACGCGACTGCGCGGTCCCATTTGCTTACTTTTGACACGCTGCCACTTTGCCGCAGGTGGTTTAGACACCGGGTGTCCAAGAGGGCTTGGCGTCTTCTTGCGTTTGAAGGAGCTACCTTCCCGCATCCTGGTCTTTGTCTCCGCTGCGCTCTCGGTACCGGGCAGAAACGGAAGTTCTGCCAGCGAGTTACCAGCGCAGCTAATACAAGACAACCCTGCCTGGACAGCTGCATGAAAGCGTTGGTGGCATTCCGAAGGTCTCCCTTAGTGAGAGTCAAGCCACAGTGGAGCTCTAGAAAGTGAAATGCTGCGCCTGCCAGCACCGCGTATTCGAATCTGAGATTCGAAGACGTGAAGTTGGACATTTGCAGACTTTGCTGTGATCCCACCGAAGCCACGATTTACTGCTGTCTGCGTAGGATTCGCACAATTCCCAACCCACGTCCGAGGCCGTGTTCGGACAACATTGGCAGCATGATGATATATGATATAATTTGCTTCCTGATCCTTCCAAATGAAAGGACGGTCCCAAAAAGATAGGATTGGCTCACTCCCTGAGTTCCGTGGATCGAGCTACTATTGGGCTTTCTCAGCCAGCCACTTATAGCAGGGTCCCACTTGGCTTGGCGACTGGACCTTCTAGCATTCTATGAGCTATGCTGGCGAAGCTTGTCCTCAAAGGGGTTGGGTTTGACAGTGTCGAGCAGATCCGCGGCACCCGCTAAATTGGGTCCAACTCCCGAAGCCCCTTTTGTTTGGTAGGTTCGGAACCCACCCCCAAAGAAGGTTTTCTTTTTCGAGAATCGCTGCGCAACTGTGATTTGGGTCAGAAGTGGGACCCCTTCAAAGGCTCGGCTTTCCTGGTGCCCATTGAAAGGGCCTGGTTATCATTCTCTAGCAGGAGGTGACGTGGGTATGCATGCAGAAATGCAGCAAAGACAGCCCTATAGGGTCAAGGGTGAAAATTCACCGTCATTTACTGAGTTAAGTGAAACGACTTTGTGCACAATCACCATTAGCCTGAAAATAGTTTTGAAAATAGTTTTGCTGTTGGTTTCCGTTTAAAGCAACTGAAATTGGCCACCATCAAGTCAGCACTCATATGTTTGTGCAAAACCGCGACCTTAACCATGAGTCGAAGGCACCGGCAGGCCTGACATTTGGGCCTTGAGGGGAAGCCTTAAATGCAAACCCCACCCAAAGGGAACACTTAACACCATTTTTGTGATCTCTGCATCTGCGCCGAACGTGACGGCTGAGGCCTATGCATCGCGAGGAGTCTCTGGATGTGGATTCTTGGCAAGTGGAGAGGCATGCCCCACAAGATGAGGTGATTTTGTCGCAAGATAGTGGGACCGGCCACCCAAAGAAA